AAAAACTGATACCTAATCGATTTTATTATAGTTGAAATTTTTATTCTTTAGGGGTCTCACCTTCATTCAGCAATTGGCTCTCACACGTAATACAGACATACTTATTGGCATGCATGGAGCTGGTCTTACACACTTGCTATTCTTGCCCAACTGGGCCACCATTTTCGAATTGTATAATTGTGAAGACCCGAATTGTTATAAAGATTTGGCGCGTCTACGTGGCATTAATTATATAACTTGGGAACGTGATGAATTACTTTATCCACAAGATGAGGGGCATCATCCGCAAGGCGGTGCGCATGCTAAATTCACAAATTATCGCTTTGATCCAAAAGAGTTTGTACGTTTAGTGACAAAAGCTGCGGAACATGTGTATTCACATAATGAGTTCCAGAAGTTTCAAACACAAAAAAGTGCCAAGCACGAAATGAGCAAACATGATGAGATGCAGAAAAAGAGAGATGAGCTATAGTATAAGACTAATTGGTTTTTTCATTCAGTATTTTAATTTATTTCGTAAATTGTGATCTTAAATAGCTCTTAATAAGAAGTTGAAATTTTCTTTAAATAGAGTAAACGCTGAATTTTGTATTAAAATTTTGTGATTTCTCGCGTCCCTTCTGGTCAAAGCATATCGTTCCAGCAAGTTTACCAAAACTAAAGGAAATGGTACGATGTTACAACAACAATGCAATCGTAACCTCAGGTTGAGGCCGTTATAGCTTAACATAAATTAATTGCAACCGTTTTGTTAAAAATTACTGAAACCCGGTGATGGACGGCTCTATCCACATTCTATAAGTGGAAACCCCAGGCTGCGGAGGCAGTTTTAGGAAGTGATCTGTTAAAGCAGGCATGCCTAGCGCAGGGCACTTGCATATGGAATACTGCCAGCGTTGGGCATGACTGTGTTAAAGTGTTAAAGAAACCCTCCGCCCAATATCCCCTTAAAGATTCGTAAAAAAAGTGTATATTTTTAGAAAAATCATACAGTGCATTATAGCAAAGTCGACCCCTGCCTTGTATAGCGGTATTTACAGATACTCACAAATGAGCGTACAGCTCTTTTTTGTTATATTCACTATGTTTTACATGCTAAAATCTTTTTGCTAATTTTGTATTAAAATATGGGTTATATTTTAGCAAACCCCATTTAAATCCAAGAATGAATCAAAGTTCCAGCAAAATCGCGAATTTTTTAATACGAATTTCTAAAAATAATTCAGGTATGCAGTTTTATATAATATAATAATGTACGAATTTCAAATGTCTAAAATTTTGTGATTTTCGAGATTTTTTTTGTTGAATGTCCTTCGTATTTTTTTTTTTATATTAAACAAAAATTCTGAAAATTTTTTGTATGAAAAAAAAAATGCGTAGGACAGTCAGCAAATCTGCATAATCAAAAATATCTAAAAAATCTGATTAAAAAGTTGAAAATTTTGCATGAAAATTTGCTGAATTTTCGCGAGTTTTGCACAAAGGTTAGGAATTATATTTTTATTATTTTTTGTTGTAGAATTAATCATATTTTTATACAAAATGGCAGAAAAATATGAGAATAAATATTGTTGCATATACTGTGCAAAATTTGTGGTGCCAATACTTTGTGCCGGCAGTGTATGTATAAAAATTGCATTGGCTACAAAACTGCAAACCCGAAATTTATTCTCTGTAGGTCATTAGGATACCACACCCCTTTGTTGACATGTTTTTAATTTTTTTTACATAGAATATGTCATATTTTTATAAAAAATTAATAAATATTAAACACACAAAAGGAAAACTGGGTTAGGGCTCGTTCACACAGAAAGCGGTGCCGAGTCGAGCGAAGCCGTTCCGAGCGAAGTGAAGCTTTCAAATTGCTGTATATGAAAGTATTCACACAGCAAGCTTTTTCATAAGCGTTTTGGGGCCGAGAGCAAAGCAGTTTTTTATTCTGAATTTTCTATTTAATTTTTCAGCTTCATGACGCTGCTGCAAACAAAATAGTAAAATATTTAAATAAAAACGAATTCTACAACCAATCTTTTGAATAAAATTGAGCAAATATGTTTGCCGCTTTTCATTGAGGGTAAGTTTTGTGTCTTTGCAAACGTGTCCATGAGAAAAGCTTCATTTTCAGGCCCGGCCCGGCACGAGTGCAAAATCAACTTTCAAAAACACGCACGAGCCCGCACGTTAAGAATTTTAGTGGGGCCCGGCCCGGCACGACGGGACACGTCCCAGCTCGGAAATAAAGAGCCCACTTTTATTGTACATATGTACATATTTTTAGTTTTGTGTTTATGTATGTATATTTACTTAAGCGAACCAATTTTTTACATCAAAGATTTTTCTTATATATTTTCTGGGAGTGGAAGTGGAAGGTATTTTATGTACAGATATGTACATACGTACGCTGGTAACATAAATTTTATAACCGGTAATTAAAGTGTCTGTCAATTTTTAAACCTTTTTCGCATTCTGTGCTCTCTTGTAACCGGTAAATTTGGTTACCATCTCAGCTGGTAACAAAATATTGCCCCGTGAAATATGCAATACAGGAATTTCCACAAATCTTCATAGCTGAGTTGCTGAATATTTTCACTGCATTACCAACATACCTAGAATCACGATGACAAGAAGTGGTAACATTTTTTGGTAATAAAATTTTCCTGTCACAAAATCTTCGGTAACGTGCAGAATAGACCTGTAAGTATCTTATTTTTTCTATCGGTTTCCAAATATTTCTTTTTTTGCTTTTCTCTTATCAAAAAAAGTTTTAATAAGTACTATTTTTTTTTTGTATAAAAACAAAAGCGTATCTAAATTTGTAGTATTAGCAACGGGCTTTTTCGTGCTTATTCGCGCTTTTTTGAAATTTTATTGAACGTCCATGCACGCACGAGCTTGTACTAACAGCAAATATTCTGGCCCGTACCCGCGGGCTTACGCAGGGACCCGCCGAGCCCCTGCCAAAAGCCCGGCCCGTGCCCATCTCTAGTGTGAACACCAACAGCTTCGCTGTGTTCGCGCCCTTATAATCGTCACATACCATGATGCAATAATACAAGGTGGTAGCGCTGTCAAACTATCGATAGTCAAGTCCATCGATGTTTTACGATAGTCTTAAGGGTGACTATCGATACTATCGATAGTATCGACCCATTTCATATGTTTTTTTAAATCCATTTATTTTTCGTTATCTTGCTCTTATAAATTTGTTTATTTTAGCGGCTCACGGTTGCATTTTAGAATCGAGAAATATTCACTCGCCGTGTAAAAAAAGCGATTTCATAAATTTTCCCTGCAATTCGCCTTTCGGAAATAAAAAAACATTCTTTCGAAAGGCACTTTACATGCAAGGTGCCACTGCTCATGCAACTGTTTTCTGAAATTTCTCAATTTTACAGTCTACTGCATTGCCCGGTCTGACACGATCTTAAGACGGCAATGGAACCCTGCTATTCCCACGCTTAAAATAAAAAATGACGCTTTTAGGAATAATGCCATGAACCAACTAAACAGATCACCCAGCACGGCAAGCGCGTATTTGTAATTGCAATTGGGAAAAAAAAAAAGTTTATATTGTCATTTTTTAATCGGTTGTTTCATTCATACACATGGTTTCATTCCGTTTCAATCACATGGCGGCGAAAAAATTACGTCACTGCGAAAAATAATACTTGTTTCTCGCATACCGCCATGGGTGTTCTTTCTTTATTCGTTCGTTCATGAAATAATGCTGCCAAATTTTGTTCTCTTTGAACCAATACGTGTAAAAGTCAAAAGCGCTAGGAAAGAGAATTCGCCATCAATAAAGCGATAGTGACGATAGTACTAAAACTATCGATAGTTGTTTCAAGTGACCAGACTATCGATACTATCGATAGTATCGTCGATAGTTTGACAGCTCTACAAGGTGGTATCAGTTGTGACAGCTCGATTTGACACTGCCTTAGCTCAGTAGAATGAGGAGAAAAACGGGAAGAAATTAGTCCCCATATGGGGGAAAAGTATATAATTTCACATTTTTTCCTAAACAAAATTTGCTTTTTAATATTACATTTACATTGGACCAAAATGCGTGATTTGAAATCAGTCATTTGAAGGTGTTTACACTGCTTGATCCGAATTTGCTTTGACTTCTCATCAAATGAAAAGGGAAGACAAAAACAAAATGTATGTAAACAAACAGTACATTTATTCTATTGTTAACGCTTTTTGGACACAAAAAGGCAATTATTCTTTGATTAAACTAAAAATGTGTAAAGCTCTTGTATAAATTAACAATTTTTACACACAAATTTCAAAGATTTATTTATTTCGTTGTGTTTGTTTTGTGTTTGAAAAATTCCAAATGTCAAAGACAAACCAAAGCTTTTGTGGAACTTTTGTTTCTGAGTGCGTTCAATAAAATAGTACGGCAATTGGAACGCATTTGTTTCGTGATTTTGTGTAAATGCGTCGAAATGCGTCATTCTGGAAATGTGAATTTGTATGGAGAAATGCGTGATTTGGCCTCGCATTTGAGGTTTCTCGCCCAAATGACGCATTTGGGCTCAATGTAAATGTAATATAAATGTAATATAATGGTATATTCGTAATGAAATGAAGTAAAATAAAATAAAATACCTTTATAAGAAAGCAAAATGTGTATACTGAGAAAAATAAAATACATTCAACTATATTATTAGGCAAGGAATTGTTAAAGAAGTAATTCTGTCTCACCTAAGGCAGACAATATGGCGGAATTAGAGCGAGAATTTGCCAACCGATAACACCTTGTATTATTGTATCATGGTCACATACGATATCGCATTACTCGCCACGTAAAAACACATTTTTTGGATTATGACCTATTTACGTGAACGTACTTTATCCCATTCAGCTACGGTGACTGACGTATCACGCAATTTTCTTTGAATGTTTTTAGATCCTTGCATGTATGTTACTATTGGAGCCCTCTACATACTGAGGATCAAAAGGGTGTGCTTATTTAATGGCTGGGAGTGTACATCGCTTTCTTTACCACACAAGAAATGGGTTTGCTCTATTAATCTAAAATTTTCTACGAATGGAAAATGAATAATGCAACGAGCATTGTATACAGATCTGTAACTGTTATCTTAAATTTTCTTTATAAACAGTATTTCAAAAGTTTTATTTTATAGCATTTTAATGTTTAATTAAAATTTCATGTTTTCGCTGCATGTGGCAAACCCACCGCTCTGAATTTTCGCATACGGTAGCACCGTGCTGTCAAACTACACATCAGCTGTTTTTGTTTACATTTTTTTTTGTGTTGTGGATTTGCTATCATACTCCTGGATTGGCCAGCGTCCACTATTTTGGTCGATATAAGCTATTACGCGCTATATATCTTATCAACAAACTGATTATCCGTTGATTTCGTTAAAGTATAAAAGCATTATTATCTCCCCTTTTATGATACTAATCAAAGTTTACTAAGAGTTATTATCAGCGCTCGACATGGAACCGCTTGAAGGAATAGGCAATGAGTTCTGCGCCACTGGCGCGCCAGAATCACAGTGCCTTTGTTCGGAAAAGCATCGTTTTTTGAATATGATTTTGAATCGGACGTCATATACGGGGCACGTTGATATTTATGATAGAAAGTCATGGGAAACCTTCGCACATGTGTGGCATATTCTGTGGACAATCGCGCCGGTTGTATATTTCTTTGCAATTGCGCGCATTGTTGGGCAAGTGATTGAAAAAAAGAGTTCCTCCGCATGCTGTATGCAGATTTCTTATTGGGTTTGTGTTGATCGTCGTACCAACAGTGCTAATTGTGAATGTGCTCAACAGCTATGTTGGCTATGTGATGTTATTTTTGTGCGTCTTTTCGTTGGCCGCATTATATGTGGTTTATGCAAAGAAAAAGCAAAATCGGACGTACAATTTGGGTGGCAGCCGTCCATTTGTATTAACACTTGATCGTGCAACTATCAACCTGCTTACGGCGCTATGCATACTCGCTGTGGATTTTGAAATGTTTCCAAAACATTTTCGAAAAACGCGTCGCTATGGTGTTGGCCTAATGGATGTTGGTATTGGGTTATTCGTTTTTGCAATGGGCACTGTCTCACGACCACCCAAGAAAGTTGCACATCTTAAGCAAACTTTATGGACTGTCGTACCGTTGCTGGTGTTGGGTCTCATGCGTACCCTGGTCATA